AGTTATATGAGCCCCTAATAAAATGTTTAAAAAAAAAAAAAAAAGAAATCCAGGTCGGATAGACTCAAGGTCATCTTTTGGCTTTCATAATTGTTTTAATTTTCTTCCCCTTCATCCTGAACTTGCATATGGACAATTGATGGCCCGTTTCAAAGTCAGCCCTGGCCTGGTTTTAGCTACTGATACTGAGCTTCTCCATCATCTTTACTACTGTCAATTTTATTTTGTATATTCGATCTGGAGAAGCCCCACTACAGTACTTTTTTCTTAGTTTCAAACTTTTGCATTCCAATTGCCAATAATTATCAATGCATCTTGATTGCAAGTTTGATCAGCTTCAGACTGAACACATTGGTAGAATTCTTCAATTTCTTCATCACTAGGTTTTGTGGTTGGTGCATAAATTTGAATAATAGGTGTAATGATTGGATTTCCTTGGAGACAAATAAATATATTCGTATCACAGACAGCATTATACTTCAAGATTGATATTGAAATGTCCTTTTGGTCTGTGAATACAACCCTATTTCTTTTGATTGTGTCATCTAAGGCACATTAAATGATATGATTTTTGGAATCAACATGGCCAATACCCGTCCATTTCAGCTCATTATTGCTTAGGATATTGATCTTTATGTGTTCCACTTCATGTGAATTCCAGTTTTTCTAGATTCATACTTCACACATTCCAGGCTCTGATCATTAGATTTTTGCAGCTCTTTCTCTTTACCTTGCTTGAGTCGTGCCCCATCAGCCAACGGAGATCTCGAAGGCTCTGCTCCCACAGGCTGTACCCACTCACATCACCAGTGTCGACTTCCTTCCGAGAAAGCAGCTCCTGCCCGGTTCCGTTCAGGGCCCTGCAGCCCCAGGGCTCCTCGTCTGGCACGGTTTCTGGAAATGTTCCACTTCCACTCATGAGGCCTTTGAATTTGACGGAAACCGAAGAAGGGCTTCTGAGGCTGTACATCTTCATGGGAGCGGATGGCCGTTTCTTTCGCCCAAGGAGGAGCTGCTGGGTTTAAACCACTGACCATGTGGACTCGCACCCAGCGCTTAGTGACAGCACCACCAGGGCGCCTTCGGCCAAGGAGTAATGAGCTATTTGTCGGTGTTGGTAAATGCCCTTTATGGGATCGGAGAACGTCTTTCTTTTCCTGGCTGATTCAGTATTCTATTATGAGGGGTGTTGGAATTCGGCCAGTGCTTTTTCTGCCTCGAGTGAGATCACTCTATGGCATGCTTTTCTTATTCGGTTGACGTGGTATGTTGTATTAATTGCTTTGTGAATGTTAAACCAGCCTCATGTTGCTGGGATGTAGCCCACTTAGTTATGGGTTATTATCCTTTTTGTAGGATTTGTTTGCTAGTCTTTGTTGACCATTTTTAAAAGCTTATGCTCATTAAAAATATTGGTCTGCAATTTTTCTATGATGTTTCTGACTGGTTTGATATCTGGGTAAAGATGTATTTGGAAAATGACTTGGGAAATGTTCCAGGATCCTCTATATTTTGGAGAAGGGTGAGAAGAAGTGGGATGCATTGTCTTCTAGTGTTGGTGGTATTTACCACCAAACTCAAATCGCCAATTCCTCAATCAGACGTGCCCTCTTTCAGTTCTCATGAGGTGTGGCGATGTCAGGAATCCATGAGCGGCACTAAGAGTTCAGCACATGATGCGAATCCAGGGGCCGCCTATGCCAGCCCACCAGGGGGCGGGGACAGGCCCTGAGCCTGCTCTGAGGGCCTCGGCCTGGTCCTCGAAGACCGCGGAGCACAGCGGACTCGGCAGCGGTGGAATCTGCTTGGCAACAACTAATAGGGTGTTTTGATTTACAGAAAGATTACTACTTAGGACTCTGTTGTGTTAGTATTCTTGTACATGTTTGATTTAAATATGTTACAAACCCCCAAATATGAATTATGCGCAGTTTTTATCCGTGAAAATAGCAACACTGGAATGTAAACAGCGAAAACCCTACTAATTCTATGTCACTCGCAGAACAGTTAGTTACATACAAAAGGCTCTTTCTTATTACATTTGATCTTTATTTTGTTTGTGACATAAATGCTTATAAATACTCTAATTTTAGGCCTTCGAAGACAGTTTGACTGAAGCAAGGAAAGAAATTGAAGTATCGCAGAGTAAATATAATGCCCTGTCATTGCAGTTGAATAATAAGCAAACTGAACTTATCCAGAAAGATATAGATATTACCCTAGTCAGGTAAGTATTCTCCGTTTTTTAGTCAGCCTTATGTAAGTGTCATTAGACACATGATTCAAATATGTTTTCTATGAGAGCATATATTTATTATACATTGAAAATATTTGGGATTATATACCCCAAATTTGGAACCTTACAGAATCAGGGGTCGGTCGATAAGATTGGATAGAGTGTGATCAAAGGCTACCCTTTTGTTTCTATTTTTAACCAGAACAGTGCGTCCGTTCATTGTTTCATGCTAAAAATTCCTAATAACATGTTTGATATTATTCACTCTAGTCATATAAGGTCTGCAGCGAACTATGAAACACAATGTTGACTTCTTATTTTATTCTGTGCATTTTTGGTTTGTTAATTGGGCTTTCTGTATCAACATAATTAATTTCCTTGTACTGTTTTAAAAATAAATATCTCTAGATGTGCAGTGAGTGAAGCTTCAGACTGCACACCTCAAGGCAGGTGCTTCCAACTCACCAGCCTTTGCACGTGAGAAAGGTGAGGCTGGCTGCTCCTGTAAAGATGGACAGCCGTAGGGGCCTGTGGAGAAGCTCTGCTCTGTGCTGCAGTGTCATGACTTTGGCCCGACTCAGAGAAAGTAGGGTTGGCTTTGGTTCTTTATTCATAAAATACAGCTTCCTAATGGCATTTGGTGAACACTAAGTGCTTAACTGCTAACCACAAAGTCCGCAGTGTGAACCCATAAGCCACTCCTTTGGAGAAAGATAGGGCAATATGCTCCCAGGAGATTTCAGCTTTAGAAAACCTATGGGGCAGTTGTACTCTGTTCTATAGAAGTGTCTCCATGAGTTTGAATCTACTTATTGGAAATAGCTTTTAACTTTATTCTCAAAATGAGATTGCTTGAAGGGGTAAGGATGACATCCTTAGGTTCTTAAGTATATTCAAGTATTTTATAGTTATCATCTATTCATTTATCTTATGATTTCCTTTACCAGACAAGGAGAATAAAGCATTGTAGGATGCTTGCTTTGTGTGTGTGTGTTTGTGTGTGAACTGTAAAAAGTTCATGGAAGAAACATTATTTTTTAACTCCATTTTTTTCACGAACTTTTTGGAACCCTGATACATGTAACATTTGTAAAATAAAATGTTAGGAAATTAGTGTTTTTGAGGTGATTTGGACTCGTGTGTGTGTGTGTGTGTGTGTGTGTGTGTGTGTAACCCAGCTCACTGTCATAGAGTCAATTCTGACTTATAGGCACCCTATTAGGACAGAGTAGAACTGCCCCTATGTGTTTCCAATAGTGGAATTTTTTACAGCAGTAGAAAGCCTCATCTTTCTCTGCAGAGGGTCCGATGGTTTTGAACTGCTGGCCTTGTAGCGATCAGCCCAGAGCAAGACCACTATGGTTCCATTCTCCTATAATTCCCCTTTTCCATGAACTTTTAGCGGTGATGCAGTTGTTCGGCTAGAACTGCTGGACCTTTTGGTTGGCAGCTGGGTGTTAAATTTTACGCCACCAGCTGGAATGGTAGACAGTATTCTAACAACTAACTTTTTATTTTAGAGTATTATGATGTTAGTATATGTGGATTCATTCTGGGATGCAGTGCAGCTTTAAATATATGGAATTAGAATAATCATATCTGCCATTAAGGATAGTCCCTACATTTCTGTTATAGCCAAAGAATTGTGTTTTATAAGGTGCCATAAATAGTGTCAAAATACTCACAGATGGGCATTTTCATGCACCGTGATAAAAGAATAATTGGCCAGAGAGCATATGGACTTGCCAAAGCTGCTAATAAGAAATCACAGGGGAGTAGGGCAGTGGTGTAGCGTTGGAAATGTGGAGCAGAGGCAATGCCACTGCTGTCAGTGAGCCCGTTCTGACTCGTGATGACCTTACAATGACAATAGACCTGATCTCTCTGTTTGTCCAGGCTGCAACCTTTTGGAAGCATATTGCCAGGTAAACAAAGTTCTTTAACAGATAACTCCAGCCCAAATCAGGATTGACTTGCTGGTGACTAACAACCGCAGTAGGGTAATGGGTAGTTGAGATGCCTGTAGTGTTTCTCTTGAGTTGTCTGAATAGGGACTGCCTCTTGGACATGTCTCGTTTCCTTCATGACACTTCTTGTGGAGGATAGAGCGTGTGAGCCACAGTATTACTTTCTTGAAACTGGATATTGTATATAAGCCACAAACACTGTGCTTGTTACAACAGTGATCTAAGCACTTGTTTGTATACTTTTCCTCGTTGACCCCGCTTTATTCCTCTGTGGGCTTATGTGTTTGGAATTTATGAAATCGTTTAAAATACTCCTCAATATCTAATCCATGTCAACCATTGTGCTATGGGATATTTCTTTTTAACTTAGCTCAAATGGTTTTCTGAGCTAGAGTGTAAATAAATATATAGATGAATGCACATATAATCTTTGTAATACATATTGAGAAACAAGGTACATAAAAAGATCTAACAACTTCAATTGCCTAACCAAAACTTTTGCCTGGAAAGGTAATGATACTATAGTTATATAGAAGGTTAACTGAATCCCCTGCCCGTCTTGTCAAATGATTTGAGCATTTTACTTTTGGTCTGTTTGTTGTTGTTTTAAGTCCATTTTTAATGTGTACAAAAACAGTCGTAGTTTTGGTCACAGATGTATCAGTAAACTAAGAAGAGTGAGATAGCGAGGGCACGTAAGATCGACATAGCATGTCTGTTGTTTGGAGGATCCAGCATAGTGTAAGGTCACTTGTTTCTAAATTGTGGTTGTTGGTAGGTGCCATCACGTGTGTTCCGACTCACAGCAGCCCGTTGCACGAGAAGGAAACACTGCCAGGTCCTGCACCAGCCTCACAAGGACTCTCATGTTTGAGCCCATCGTCGCAGCCCTGGTGTCAGCCCATCTCTCGGAGGCCTTCCCTCTCATTCAGAGAAGGTCTCGGCTCCCCACTTTGGAGGAACGAACCACTGAACGCTTGATACATAGTGGTTTCCAAATAAGACACGTTAAGCCAGTATAATCCCAATCACAGGTTAACAACTATGAAAAGCCATTGCCTCCGCTAGCCCATGAGGGGCAAGGAGAGGGGATGTGGTACCACTTCTCAGTGAGAAGTGGAGCCTGGGAAAGAGGCTGCCTTAACTAGAGCTGTGGAACAGAAGCCATTACTAGATGCGGTTCAGGAGAGGGAGCTGGGGAAGTAAGTACCTGACCTTTGGTCTCCTTTAGCCTCCCATCTCTTAGCCACACCTCCTCCCGCTAGTCAAGTTCAGTCAGAATCGGAGGAGAGGGAGCCGAGGCAGTGCAGGCTGTCTCGGGTTGGGGAGACAGTAGAATGGAGATGATGAAGAGGAATAACACAGGATACATGCGCCATTCTGGTCTTGTTCAGAGCTTTCCTTCTGATCACTGCTTGTTGATCTTCCCATGTGAATGTTAGGGTAGAATTCATGGTTCATTATTTCTATTACAGCATCGCATTTATAAATAAACCTAGAGAGAATTGTGTCTTTATAGTATTCCATCATCCTGTCCTAGAGTACGGAACACCATTCTATTTCGTTCCGTCTACCTTTGTTAAGTGTTCCCAGTTGCTCCTTAGAGGAGTTTTGGATACTTTTTTGTTAAATTTATTTCTGCTCTTTCATGCTCTTTGTTGCTTTTTAAAATGTGATCGCACTTCCTCAGAGAGGTACTATCTTAAACCAGGTTCCCTGGCGAGAGAAGCAAAACCACTGATAAACACACGTACAGAAATTTATATCAGGAGAATGGCTCACACAGCAATAGAAAGTGACAAGTCAAGTCCAGCTCTAAGCCGATGGGCCAGATGTTAAACTGGAGACTTAACTGATGTGTGTGGCTTTGGGGGCTGATGAACCCAAACTTGGCAGGCACATGAATGGTTGCAGAAGGGGAGGGACCCACGGTAAGCAGATTAAGTTTGTGACTAGAGAGGTAGAGAGGTGAGTGGCTAGCAGGTCAGATGGCAGGTCACCAATGCTTCCCAGGGTTTGGCATGCCATTGGCGCAAGTCCATCTGGAGGTCCATGAGCCAGATGTGGGATCCAGGTGCAGCAAAAATTGAAGTCACTTACATGTCCACTTATCAACAAAGTAGGCCAATTACCTTAGGAAATTTCCTTTTAATTGTATCAGGGCTGTGACCTGAGTAATGCGGTTGTATTCTACCCTGATCTTCTTAACAACAGCTTGCTTGCTCACAGAAGGTACCATCATGGAGTTGATGACATTGTGTTAGGTCACATCCTTGCGGATTATTAGACCTGAACTGCCAAAGCACTTTGAGACTCTTGGCTCAGCCAAGTTGACATACAGCCAAACAATCCCAGGTACTGAAACTTTCTCTTTATTGATTATAGTTCGTGATGTGCTCTGGTTTGGTGGGTCACATGTTAACGCTAGTGTTGTCTTCAGTGTGAGTTGTAGCTTCATTCTTGTAAGCTTTACCTGGTGGGTTGAAGGATGAGGTGCCCTGTGTTGCTCCTCTTCCTTGCGCTCGCTGCTTCATCCTTTCCTTCAGATTCTTGAGGTTGCAGACTGGAACTGGTCGTGGTGCTTACTGATGGGGACTTTGGGTTGATACTTAATTTGCCTGTGGAGATTATTTTTAATACACTTAAAATTCTGTCTGCTATATCATGAAAACTTGACTTACACCGCATTCAAAACTGTCATAGAAAGCTATTGTTGGCATCAGTACTTACTAATTCTTGGAACGGAAGCATTAACTTAATTTCCGAAAGATGACGGTTCTGGGCTTGCAGATCCAGGGTTTTATTACTACCGTGCTATAAAAGAAAATTGATATGCGTTCAGCTTAGAAACTCAGAGTAGTTCTATCAATACTTTCTAGGTATATGTGATAAATATGAAATACTGTATATAGTATGCTTTGTTACTAAGGGTGCCCGCAGTAAAAATAGGTGAAGAGGGGAAGCTGATCTGCAATCTTGGGTGGACACAGTGATTTAGCTGAGACGGTCTTCTCCCTGCCTCCCTCCGTCTGTGCTTGCTTTGCTCAGGAAGGAGCTGCAGGAGCTGCAGAATCTCTACAAACAGAACAGTGCGCACACAGCCCAGCAAGCGGAGCTCATTCAGCAGCTGCAGGTGCTCAATATGGACACCCAGAAAGTACTGCGAAACCAGGAAGATGTTCACACAGCCGAAAGCATATCGTATCAAAAAGTATGCTACTATTCTGTCCTAAAAATGTAATTGTGTGTGTATAGGCATATGCAAATACATAGAATTTCAAAACCTCCACATTTTAGCATGTCCTTATTACTCCCGTTTTATATATGGCTCTTCAGAACTGTACATGAAAGGGTGCTTCAACTTGGTAATATTTAAATTGTTTGGAGGTTGGTTTTGGGTTTTTTGGCTGATAGAGCTAAATCATTTTTAAAATCTCTGTAAGATTAATTCCATAGGGTACTGTTTTTATAAGTTGGAATCTTTTATATCTTCTGTGAAATTTACTAGGGCTATAGCCCACACATGGGGAAAGGATTTTGATAATGGCATTAACTTGGGCTTCTGTTATGAGGAAAATATTTCATCAACTATGATACTAGTTTATGATCTGAGGAAGATTCTCCATATAGAATTTGTGTATTACTGTATTGGAAAATCTGCACAAACACATATCAGTATGCTGTTGGGGACTTTAGGATCAATATTTTTCAGGGATTTTTCTTTCTTTATTTTACATTTCTTCTAAGTAGTCATTCCGCCTGGGAGTTGTTGTAGCAGCCCCTCAAGAAGGTTTACCCAGATACTTAGGTGGCTGACTGACTGAGCAGTAATAATTATAGCTAGTAATTAAAAAAGGAAAGAAACACCTTAATTAAGTTCTTTATATTTTTGTAGTGTGCTGTTTCATATGTTGAGATTGTCCATTATGCTTTCCCCCTCAAACCATCTTCCCTTGCTAAAAAAAAAAAATAGTATGAGAAATTTTACCTGATTACTAATTTTAACTTCTTTCTTTTTCACTTATCAACTTGACTCACAGGATTTCTCTCCCTTTCTTAGTGTTTAAACGCCTCTATTCTTTGCAGTTTGTATTTCAATCTGTCTTTAGGTTTGCTCGTTATTGAAATTTGTAAACCTTTCCTCTCGCTTGCTAAGAGCTGTTTTCTCTCACAGTTAACAAGGGAAAACACGGGAAGGAAGAATGAAAGCAGTTACATTGCCATTGCCATTTAACTTGTACTTTCCGAGATTCCTTTTTGTCTTGCTGAACCAAGTAATTCTTTTCTTAGAAGGCATTTCATCCCATCATCACCTGAGAAAGACCCCCGTTCTTCCTTCAAACGCTGCAGCCTTGATTTCAGCATCATGGTTGGCTCACCTGTGCAGCCTCTGCAGAGAGCAGCCATCCTCTTTCTGTCCTTCTGAGGACTGTGAGGCAGTTCTGGATTGCCTCATACAGCGGAATACTTACCACGTGTTGATGAAGAATGGTCTTATCAGAGTCAGCCAGGCTTATATTAAAACTTCAAACAGTACAGGAGCCTGTGAACCAAAGAAGAAAGTCCGCTGCCTTCTACCCGAATCCCTCTCCCCGGAAGTCATGGCTAGTACTCTTTGGAAATGTATCCTTTCTCTCGATTTACCAAGAACAGAGTACTTTAAAATCATTTTCTCTTTTTAATTATACAAAAATTACATGAATACATTATTGCAGGAGAATTAAAATAATACAGAAATGCCAATGACGATCATCTAAGTTGAGCGTCTCCCTCCACCCCCAGTTCATTTCATCTCTCTTCCCAGAGGTAGTCACCCGAGTACGGGGCACATATATACATATCATAGGAAATGCCGCTTCTGTCTGGTTTACTGCCTTCCTTTTCTGGCTTTGCAGTTTGGGTCTCTTGCTGGTTCGTCTCAGGTGCCTTTGTGCACTAAGTATTGAAATGCCCCAGGAGTCAGTCCTAGGACCTTTTCTCTGTTTAAATGCACACCCTGGTGATGCTAACTAATCACTTAGACTTCTAAAGTCATGACAGCGATGCCTCACAAATAAGCTACCTCGAGACACCGGACTGAAGTCGAGGACAGAGGACATGTAATTGCTTTCTTTTCACCTGGCTGCCTACGGCTTATCTCAAACTTTAAAAGAGAAACAAACAAACAGAAAAGCCCAGTTGTCACAGGGTCAGAAATGACTCATGGTGATGTCACGTCATCATCCCAGTGGCTGGTTTGGGGGGAGTAGATTACCAGCTGTTCTTTTGGGGGGCCTGTGGTGTGCAGCCCAAAATCTAACTCCGTGGTTGGCAGCCATCTGCATGAACCACGAGCACCACTCAGGTCCTCCTCTAAAATGAAGAGGTTCACAATGAAGGTGTTGTCTCTCTCATTCTGTATCTGTCCACAATTCAGATCTCCTTACCACTGTTGCCTTCCAGGGGCCTGTCCAAATTGCTATCATGTAGAGCCTGAATTATTCTAGTAGATTCCTCCTTTGTCATTTGACTTTAGCTTGTTCTCGGCATATATGCACCATATTCTTATTAAACCTTACTCAAATCACATCACTTCTCTTTTCAAAACCCTGCACTGGTTTTCCCAAACCCAAACTAACTGCTATGAAGTCTATTCTTACTCATAGTGACCCCGATAGGGTTTCCAAGGTCGGAAGTCTTTATGATTGCAGCTAGCCTCATTTTTCTCTCCAGGAGTGGCTGTTGGGTTTGAGCCACTGACTTTGTGGTTAGCGGTCCAAAGCTTGCCCAACTAGTACCCAGGCTCCCCAGACCCTTGAAAGGAAGCATCACAATTCTCACTGCTGCAGCCTCTGAGGCCCACACGCTTTGCCTGGGCATGGCCTCTTGATCTCATCTTCTTTTCTCCACCTCCTCCGCTCCACATCGTACACACTACCTTGGTGTCTGCTCCTTGCACATACCAGGTATTTTTCAACTTCAAGGTTTTTGTACTTGTTTCCAGTACCTGCATGATCTTCCCCCAACATGATGACAATAATTGCTCCGCTTCCTTCATTCTTTACCGATTAAAGCTTAAAATCGGTTTGATAGCTGACATTAAGTGGTAACAGTAAGTATGAAGTAAGTTCGAATGAGGATGGAGGGTGGAATGGGAATAAAACTCTGGGGCCTGTCCTAGGCATTTAGACAAATCAGGCTGTCATTGATGTAGTGGTATCAGTGAAGCTTAATCTAGAAGATAGGGTGACAAATGACGTCGAGGGACGAATTAGTGCCTCATTACTCTTCTACATGACCTGAAGCCCCAGCCACCAATTCCCTAGTTATTGCCTTCACTCCAATTGGAGAGGTAGCGTTATATCCTCCCATTTAGAGGACTTTGCCTTAACTAAAACTTTGACCTGGGGTACATTTTGAAACCTCATATACCCTCCTCCTAAAATTATGATTATCACTTCCAAGAATCATTGTAAATGAGAATATGTTGTGTTTCCGAATAGTGTGGAGCCAAAAAGGGAATAAACTAAACCCCAAAACTCAACAATAAAACTAATCAAGATCTGCTGTTTTAAAAAAATCTGGTTCTAATTTTCCTTGTCTTTAGTCTGTTTTATTGGTTTTTTCCCCCTCCAAGTTGAATTTTCCTTTTTACTTATTTCTTAGATGTTATCATGGGAAATAGAAAATGTTACCAATTTCATTCAGAAATTGTAATTTCTATGTAATATTTCAATTTTGAAGCTTTTTTAAACCCTTATAGTTTGTAAGATAGTTAATTATTATCAACCGGACTCAATTCAGTAGATATTACAGATTTTCCCCCCTTTGGTGGTTTCTATGTAGTTACCCATAAGAATGTATAAAAATGATAATTTCATCTTTCAAGAGCAAATACATGAGCCTTTAGAATATATCTTTCAGTTTTTTACACATTTTCATTTCACATTATACAACTATTAAAATAATTTCAAATAGAAATACTTTGTAAATAAGAATATAGTTAAATTACCCATTTCCCAGTATTGATCATATATGGTGTCTAACTATTGTAAACAAAACTCTAAGAAACATCTTTTTGTTGTCAGTTTAGGTTATTAATCATATTTGGAGAACTTTGACAGTATAAACCAAGGAAAGAGATTGCTTTATGAAAAGCCAGTTACATCAGAATAATGGTGTGGAATGAATAGACACTTATACATGGAGATACCAGAAACCAAGCTAAACTAATGCCGTCAGGTTGATTGTGACTCCTAATTACCATAGGACAGGGTAGACCTAGCCCATACGGTTTGCAAGGCTGCAACCTCTATGGAAGCCTGGCAGGTTCAAATCACCACCCTTTATTTAGGCTGGACCCTTTAACGCAGACTCTTACATCGAGATAATCTTGCTATCAATTACTAAAGAATGAAAATTCTCATTAGAATATGGAGTTTGAAGAGGGCCTATCCCATAGGAGATGACCATTCAATGTTAAGTCACTGAACAGGAGGTGCATACTATAATATCCCTATTTGGATAATACAATTTTAAAATTGTAGATGCTTATATTAATTGCAAGAGATTTTTTAACTCTATAAAGGCTTTTTTGTTTTTGTGTTTTTGCTGTTTTAAGCTAAATGTATTCTAGTGGGCTTGATTTTTAACAATTTTGGTGGGTAAATCATTCTAGAGAGGGGTAAAAATGTAAAAAAAAGAATACAAGATAGAAGGCCATCCAATGGGTACACAATCATAAGTAATGAATATAAAATAGAAATATAAGCTAGGGGAATCTGTTACCATTTACACCCATTATTTTAGAAATGTGTTACGTGAACTGAGGTAAATGTGTAACTTGTTTAAAACAACCATATAATTCTAAGCATTAATTTCATTGAATTTATTGTGAATCAAGAGCTGGGAAAAGGGCTTTTTAAAAAACCCCGCATTATCGTTTTAAGCCTCACAACAAACCTATGTGGTATTGTTAGCCTTGTTTTATAGATTACCTAAAGCCAAATAATCCCTAGATGGTAAAATTCAAATTTAAGTAACTTCTGTCCAGAACCTACACTCTTAACTTTCATTATAAAGCCCTCAGGATTGTTCCAGCCTATGTAGACTACCCTGGTCTTTTCCTTAAAGGATTCTATAAACAGATTTTACAAACTTTTATTAACGGTTCTCATTTCACAGTTCTTGTAGTGCTTCGTAGCAAAGTTAAACTCTGTCCCAAGACGCGCC